CCTTGTCTGATAATTCCAACCTCTTAGTCATGTCTGGGTTCATCAAGTAGGTTTTCACTGTATCCTGAATATTGTGAAGATTATGCTGTGACAGTCTGGATTCTGTTACATTCCTTGGATGAGTGTTGATGTTTGCAGTTTAGCTGGTAAGTACCTTGGTTAGTCTCAAACTGCAAAGTGTCTAGCCTGCAGTAGCAGCAGCTCAAATTTAGGTTCAGGCACTTTAGCCTCATCTACAACAACTGTGCAAGCACAGTTCATACATCCATCGGAGATCTGGGGAAAGTTTACACACAGAACATGGAGCTGCCATTCTCTGGCTCTCTCTTTTCTGGGATTCTCCCCTCACTTTGGCAGCTGTGGCCACCCCACATTCTGCCCTCTGATTTCTCAAGCCAGAAAGGCTGCAGTTTTTCATCAGAGCTTCAGGTGACCTGCATCACACTCTGTCCATGGCCCAAAGCTTCCAATTTTCCACTCCCATCCAAAATCTGCCTACCTCAGTTCACACCCCAGAGCTTTCAGGGAGTCATTGTTGTTTGAGTTTGGGGGTAAGGGGACTTTTTGTCCAGACTTTGTGTTACCTACAGAGGAGATGGTCTTAGGAGCTTTCTTTACCTTACCCTCCAACCTTGAATTTTGTACGCAGATTCCCAGTTAAGTGTGCAGATAAAGCCATTTTCAGGGCACCTGGGTGGCTCAGTCAGTTAAGCATCTGACTCTTGGTTTCAGCTCAGGTCATGATCTCAGGGTCATGAGATCGAGCCCCGCATTGGGCTCCACACTGGGTGTGGAGTCTGCTTAAGATTCTCTCTCTCTCTTTCCTCACACTTGTTCACTCTCTCTCAAATAAATAAACCTTTTTTAAAAAGCCATTTTTCAATAAACAATGTCTCAAAAAAAAAAAAAATCCTCTCCCAAATTCCCTTCATTGGGAAGCAACTAGAGAATGTCCTTTACCAAAAATGAGGCTTTATACCAAGTTAACAGTCAATATATCCAGGGGGTCTGGGATTCAGATGACCCCAACACAAGACCAAATTGAAAGGAATCCTGGGGACACAGGCATAGAGAACACCGAATCCACATTGTGCCGAGAAGAACAGAAGTCTTTGGGGGCAATTTCTTCCAGAAGATAAACTTAGCAAAATACCCAACATATCTGAAGATTTTGAAAAGAGATTTACTTAATTAGGAAGTATTTGGATTGGAATTACTGTTAAGTACATACAAAATTAAACCAACACACAAACAATAGAAAATGATCTTGCCCCAGGGAAAACATAATATATGGGAAAAGACAAAGTAATCACGATATACTATATGGCTTAGCTATGAATAGATATTACACAGTCATGACGTACATCCTGAGTGTCGATCTAGTTGGAATTATGACAGAACTATAACCTGAGGGTGGAAGTCCTGGGGAAGGGGAGGGGAGAATGAGAGAAAAGACCTGAATTAGTGGTTCTCAACCGAGGGCGACTCTGACCTCCCAGTGGACATTTGGTGATGTCTGGAAACACACTCAGTTGTCACCTTTGGGAGGAAGGGGATGTTGCTGGCAGCTAGCGTGTAGAATCCAGGGATGCTGCTCAACACACTCTCATGTGCACGCACAACAGAGAATTGTCCACAACTGCCAACTGTGCCACCATTCAGTACCCAAGCAAAGTCATCATGTGCCGCCGTTCAGTACCCCAAGCGAAGTCATCATGTGCCGCCGTTCAGTACCCCCAGTGAAGTCATCATGTGCCGCCATTCAGTACCTCAAGCGAAGTCATCATGTACCGCCGTTCAGTACCAAAGCGAAGTCATCTTTTGCCGCCGTTCAGTACCCAAGCGAAGTCATCATGTGCCGCTGTTCAGTACCCAAGCGAAGTCATCATTTGCCGCCATTCAGTACCCCAAGAGAAGTCATCATTTGCCGCCGTTTGTTCAGTGCCCAAGCGAAGTCATCATTTGCCACCGTTCGTTCAGTGCCCAAGCGAAGTCATCATCTGCCACCAGTACCCCAAGCGAAGTCATCATTTGCCACCGTTCAGTACCCAAGTGAAGTCATCATTTGCCGTTGTGGTGTGTCAGCAGACAACATCTAAAATGTAAACATCAAGTAGGGACTTCATGAGCATGTTTAGAGACACAGGGATAGATTAGAAAGAATGAGCTGAAGGCTTTGGGACTGAGAAGTGGGCCCTGGGTCCTGGGTCCTCTGGGTTTTGTAACAAGCCTTGTAGCGCTCTGTCTCTTTAAACTGTGTGCACGTGTGAGTCTTATATTTGGAATAACCATTTGAGTGGAAGAAGAGAACGGTTTAGAAAAGTACAAAAGTACAGAGGAAGGTCTGTCTGCCTGTTCTTCACAGAAGTTCTCTGAACCGTGGTGGATGACAGTCCTGGGTTCTTGCCCTCCGCTAGGATGTGGCCATGGTGTACTTCCTCCTTACGTGACTCCATGTCTGTATGTAGGAACGATGAAGGGAGAGACATGCTACTCTGCCCTGCCGTTAACTGAATCCGTGATTTACAATCCCGTTTCTTTCTTCTTGAGGCTGTAATCCCAGGAGCCTCCAGATTTGCGTTAACGTTCTACAAATGTGGCAGGTGATCGTGGCACATACCTCCTCCTGGTGGCAGCGTGCCAGAATTGCAGGCCCAGGTACTCACTGAGGCACACCGGAACCCTATAGAAGCTCAACATGCCAAACCGGGCATCTGAGGAAGCAGCAACCATTTCACCTGCTCGGTCTCTGAGGCTCCTGTCACCACACACGCAGTTCAGAGCATCTGTTTTAGGGCCGGTAGCTGGTTCCAAAGTCCCATCGTGGGATAAACTGAATTTTGAGGCTGGGAAATTCTAAAGCAGGGCTCTGCTCTTGTTCTGAGCGCCCTGTGCTGGGAAGTAGAATGTAGCTGAGTGTCCCGTCCTTCCTTTGGTCCTGGTCTTGTGGGTTCCAAGTTGAATGGTGCTGCCTTGTGCCTTTGCCTGTGCTTCTGACAGGAGGGAATTTGTAGGCATCACAGCACACGCAGTTGGCACCCCGTGCCCTCACTGTCAGAGTGCTCAGCCATGCATCTGTCCACAAAGGCCCGGAGCCACACAGCCCATGGCTCTGACCTTGGTATGTTTCTCGCTCTGGGGGAAGGACTCCATCCAAAGCAGGATGGGAACTTAAGATGGGGCTGGTTGAGGGGAGGATGCGTGGGGGAAAGGAGGGCATAAGGGGCCCACCATCAGAGCAGGCTTGAGAAGCTGGTCCTTTTGTCCTGGAGCAGGTGCCACACTTGTCCTCACTGGGAAGCAGAAGCAGCTGGGAGCGCAGTTCCCGCCTTTGGGTGCCCAGCCTGAGGAGGAACACCTGGGATTTTCCAGATAGGACTGCTGAAGGCGAAGACGCTTCCCTGCAGGTGGAAGGAGGCAGGGCCCGGGGCACTGAGGGCACCCATCCTCCTGCAGAGGGGCTCCCTCGGCCCGGGCCCACCCCCTCCTGCCTGGACCTGTTGTCTCAGGTGGCACTCGGCACAGCTGGAGTCACACTTGTTCACTGACGTGTGTGGTCAACCCCCCCATGAGGGGGCAGAGACAGACCACCCGCCAGGATCACCCCTTATGTCCTGGCTTTTAGTGGGTGCTCTGAGCAAGAGTGGTGGATGAGTGAATGAATGAGCAACAGTCAGTTCTCCGGGGCACATACAGGAGGCCCAGAATGGCTGCAATGTGCCCCCCTCCCCCGAGTCCCCCTGCTGGGTGCTCCGAGGCTCCCTGGGAAGAGTGTGCCCATCGTTGGGTGTGCAGACCTGGTTGCATGGGTATGAGGACAGTGAGAAGTCACCAAGCCTGATAACATCTCTGCTTCAGGCGACCTTGCACTTGAAAGGTTTTTAGGGAATCCACAGCAGGAGCAAGTATGGCAACATGGAGACATCGGTTGCGGGGCGGGGTGGGGGGGCGGGTATCGGGTTCTTCTCACTTGTTCTTTGCAGTCGGGGGCTTTTCTTTCTTGGAGGACAGTGCACGGGGTGGTCATGAACTCCACCATTCGTGGGTTCGCTCCCTCTGCCACCCCTCCGTGCCTGGTGCTCACCCTGGATGCTGTGGGGATGGCAGGTACCACAGCACCCCCAGGAGAGGTCCAGGTCAGCGGGCCGGAGGTGTGAAGCCCAAACGCCCGAGATCCCTCCTCTTTCTGCTCTCACCCACCCGGTCCACCCTGTCTTCATTCCCTGGCCGGCAGTGATGATTGGAGCGGACAAAGCAGGTCTGCCTCTGGGCCTAGCTCTGGGGGCGTTCAGTCCCGCCTCTGCCTGCCGATGCCATGGGGACAGATGGAAATCAAGGGGCAGGCCATGGCCAGGAGCTCAGCGAACACCAGAGTGGCCGCAGTGGGGGCCTCATCCGGGGTCCCCGGATGAGCAGGGCGGGGACCGTGGCCCTTAGCGCCTTGTCAGCCAAGCTTTTATGCCTTTTCCAGCCTCCCTGACAGGAGGGAGCACCCGGAGGAAATGGGCCGTTTTAGTGTGATGTGTGTTCCCAAAATATGTGAGAAACAATTAGTGTTTCCTCTTAAGTGTGAAAATGGAAAGCAGTAGGGCCACACCCCCGAGACCCTGGAAATCTCCTGTCTGGCTTTTCGCATGTGGCTGGCGGCCAGGAACTTTCCCCCAGGCCTGCCAGAGTGAGCACCTCAGTGCCCTCGGGTGAGATGAGTGCGTCCGGGCCACCCAACTGCTGGAAACTGCCCCGCGCGGCACGGTGGGCCCCCTGGCTGCGGTCAGGTGGCCTGCAGCCCTCACAGCGGCCTCCCTCTGGTCCCCCCAAAAGCACCTTTGGTTCCAAAGCCACAGTGGTTTCATGCTGTCAGCCTGCTGACTGTCCGTCCGTCCATCCATCCGTCAGGAGGCAGGGCTGCTGCTGCCCCGGGGCGGCGGGGGCAGGGGCGGGCAGGCGCTGTTCCCTTCAGCCCACGAGGCCCCTCACCCACAGCCCCTGTCTTCCTGCAGGTGAACAACGAGAATGTTGTCAAAGTCGGCCATCGGCAGGTGGTGAACATGATCCGCCAGGGAGGGAACCACCTCGTCCTCAAGGTGGTCACGGTGACCAGGAATCTCGACCCGGACGACACCGCCAGGAAGAAAGGTGCCCACCCCACCCCGCCCCTGCTCTCCAGCCTCCTATGCTTGGACACACTCAGGTGTCCCCCACATCTCCTCCCACTGGGGGGCGGGTCCTCCAAGAGGAGGGAAAGAAGCCACAAGGGAGGTTGAGAGAGGACTGTGGGCTTGCTCACTGCACAGAGGTGGCAGCAGGCAAGGCTGTGCTCAGCAGCCCCAGGTCTGGGGGGCCACAGGACATGTGCGCGGCCCATGTCCTTGCCGTGATGGGAGGGGGGGCAGCCAGGGAGGGGCTGCAAGGCTGCCGGGACCATTAGTCCCGTTAGGCACCAGCAGGCACAGCGCCGATAGAGCTGGACCGGCCTCCCCTCCGCGGACTTGTGCTCACTCAGGGACGGCAGGGTGGTCCCGACCCATTGCGGCCCCAGTGGAGCCTCAGTGGGTGACCACTGCTGCTTCCCGTCCTCGGGGGGACGCCTGCCTGCCCGCCTTCCCTGCAGGCTCAGGGCCGCTGGCTCCCAGGTTGTGCTGGAAGCGTGGGGGTGGGGCGGGCAGCATCCTGGCCGGGTTCTCACACCTGTCTCTCCCATCTGCCCCTCAAGCTCCCCCGCCTCCCAAGCGTGCTCCAACCACGGCCCTCACCCTGCGCTCCAAGTCCATGACCTCGGAGCTGGAGGAGCTCGGTAAGAGTCGCCCGTCTGGCCCGCCCAGCCCCGCGCTGTTGCCAGCACCTGGGACGCAGTGGGACCGGCCTCTGCGCAGCCTCAGGCCGTGCATGGCCTTTGCTTGCTTGCTTGCCCCGGTCTCTGACCCTGACACCCGGGAATGGCGTCAGGTCCCTGTGTGCGGGCGGCTCTCACGTTGGCATCTCCGTGGGAATCTTGCTGGCTTTGGGGGTGGTTACTAGTTTTGCCTTTATCTCTTTTCGGCTCATCTAACATTGTTTTGTTTTGAATTTTTGGGCCTCTCACTAGTGGATAAAGGTAAGGTGCCCCACAGCGTCCCCCAAACAGCTCCCTGCTGTCTAGGCCCGCCCCCCCCCCCGCCGAAATCTGCCTCACTGGTGCTCCATGCACGGCTCAGACCAGAAAGCAGCGTCCTGGGGGTTTGCGTAGATAGTGGTAGGGCTGGCAGGCCTGGCAGGCTGCACACCAGGGGTAGGGAGCTCCTGGCGTGTTCTAGAAAGTCTGCAAGGAACAGGAGGACTGGAGCCATTGGCCCTGTCGGATAGACAGGGAAGGGCGTGCAGAGCCTCGTGGGCCCTGGGTCCAGTGGCACTGGTGGCTGCTGGGAGAGGGAGGACCCTGGAGCCGGTGTGGGCCGCCCAGATGCTGCTTAAATGTCATGCCTGGGCGTCACCATGGAGCCCAGGGACACATTTGGAAGGAGGCTGGCTCTGACCACACGGAAGTGGCGAGTGGGCTGACAGGCTCACTGTGCAGAGCATGCAGAGAGGGCCTCGCTAGGTGCTAGAGGGTGAGCACCTGTGCACCTGTGCAGGGAACCTGTCCCTCGGGCCCGGCTGGCCCAGCGGGGTGACGTCTGAGCACCCCTCACTGGTGTTGAACAGGACATCACTCCCACCTGATCCCAGCCTTCATGGGGAGACCTTTTGGACCCTTGCCCCAGAAAGGACGGAGCAGCCCTTCTTCTTTGCAGCATTCTCGGTGGTGGCGGGGTGGGGGGGGTCTCCTCCATCCACGGTGGGTGCAGTGCTACAGCCAAATGGTCCTTCCCCGGGCCCCAACGGCCTCCCAGCTAGCACCCCCACCGGTCACTGAGGCCTAGCCTTCTAGAAATCAGCACCCCTGCCATGGTGCTGCCCACCTCCTGCCGAGAACGGGTAGCTCCCCACAAGCCCCTCTTCTTCTGGTCCCCAGGAAAGCCTGACCATCTCCCCACACCTGGCCTGTACTGGTGGGGATGACAACAGAACCGTTGCCCATCCATTAAAACCAGAGAGCACGTGCCACCCTGCCTTCTCCAGGGGGCCACAGTGTCTTGTGGCCTTTCTCCCCCCGTAGGGGGTCGTGGGGCTCCTCCTGCCGTCGGCTCCCATTCTCACTCACCTGCCACGTTGGCACAGTGCTGGAAGGGCGGGGGCAGGGAGCTCAGTAGGAAGGACGCCCCGGGACAGTGCCTCATCCGTAGCCGGGAAGCAGGTTTACCAGCGGGGTGTGTCGACGGAGAAGGTCACCTCGTCCCCGAGTTCCTGGGAAAGCCATAAATGCAGCTCTCTAGACATCCTGGCCTCCCGTGTCTGCCCCGCCCCCCCCACCGTGAGCTGCGGGTGAGGGTGAGGCTTCCCAGCCCCCGAGCCAGGCCGTGGAGGAGCGCTGCCATCTCCAAACTCACGCTCCCCTTTCTGTTTGCAAGCCTCCATCCGGAAGAAGAAGGGTAAGGGGCGAGCCCGGTGTCTGTCCCCAGCCCCCGCCCACACACCCTCCGGAAGAGAACCCCTCTGTGGCTGTCAGCGTGGCGTCTAGATGCCTTGACCTTGCGTTGTCTCCTCCCTGTGCCGGGGCCTGCAGAGGGGCCCAGCTCCAGACCACGTCCTGTTTCAGTCTGTCCCGTCTGCTTCGCTTCTCCCATTGTGGTTCCTCTCCCCACAGCGTGTTGTGCTTTCCCCCAGAGCTGTGTCATCGTCATCACTGTGAAGGCTGCGGGACCCTCAGGCCGTCACGGCCGGGCCGGCCCTACTGGCCAGCAGCCTCTATACTGTGTCCAGCCCACGGCCACACACAGGTGGTCGGGGTGCAGGCCAAGTGGAGCCCCGGCACCGGATGGAGGGCTGGACCCCTGACTGCTGGCCGCCATTGCTGGGGGGGGCAGGGGCTGCCCCCCTCGAGCTCCCGGAAAGCCCCTGGCTCTCCCAGAGGCCTGCGCCGTGCCTTCTATGCTTGAGCTGGCAACAGGCATGGGGTGGGGGGCAGTCGCCGTGCTGTGAACAGCAGAGACACCTGCCCCACGAGGGCCCTGATGGACTTAGGCCCCTCCTTCCCCAGCATCCACATTTTAGGATGTTTCTCACCTGGCTGCTAGAGACAACTAACCCCAACAACTGAAAGAAGCGTAAGAATTTCAAAACTGCTTTTGGGGGTGGGGGAGAGCACAGAGTGGATCCTATCACATGACCTTTGGCACTGAGGCAAAGACACAAGGCGGTATTCTGAATGCTGAAATCAAGGGGTGGGTCTTAGAATCCAACGAGGCAGCATCTGGGGGCAGGATCATGGGTCCTGGAGTGCCAAGTAAGAGCACCTCCTTTCTCCACTCCCTGGCTTCCACCCCCCACCCCCAGGGGCTGCCCGGGAAACTCCTAGTGGCCTTTCCCGGATCGGTCACTGCGTCAGCCATGTGGTGGATGCCCAGGACACAGAAAGCTTCCTGGAACTGCATCTGTCCCTGAGCGCCCCTTTGATCCAAGGCGATCGCCCCACTGTGCGCCACGCCATCCTGAAGAAGACCTCCCAGTGCCGGCTCCCAGGAGCTGCACTGCGTAACAGAGCTGGCCAAGGCCCTGTCTGGGGTGTGCCCATGGCCTGCACCCCCCAGGCCCCATCCACTCACCCTCCTCCCTCAGGGGTGCCTCCAGCAGCCAGACACTCTGGACTGAGGGAAAAGACAAGTCACAATCCTGTGGCCATCATGGCCCAGAGCAGAATCAACACAGAGGACAGGCAAGGGACCCTCCCTACTTTGAACAGCAGAGAAGACTGGACGCAATTCGAGATTGAGTGCCCCTCCCTCCTATTTCCTGATCCTGGCCAGAGCAGGAGGCTGGTGTGCGCGCAAGACCCCCAAAGGCCCAGGGGCCATGACCCACCCAGCTCCCAGCGGAACTATGGGGTGCACTGCAGGGCTCCAGGGGCCCATGCCGGCTGACAGGCCCAGCCCTTCACTGCAGTGAAGGAGAGGACAGTCCGGTGTCACGCAGTGGGGAGCATCAGACATCAGTGGACCTACAGAGAAGCTCCTGCCCCCCACCACAATGCCCCCGCCGCTCTCTTCCGGGTGATTGGGCTCACCTCCTCAGAAGCATTCCCCACACTCCTGAGGAGCCGTGTGCATCGGGGGAAACTAGCCCTTTACATCATACTGGTTGAATAGTGTCCCCCCAAATCTACATCTAGCTAGAACCTATGAAAGGGACCTTATCTGGAAACAGGGCCTTTGCCGATGTACTCGTGATGAGGCCATACTGGACTGGGATGGGCCCTGACCCAGTGACCATGACCTCACAGGAGAGGTAGAGTCAGACACACACAGAGGAGGCCATAGAGGCAGAGGTTGGAGGGGCCAGGAATGAACGCTTGGAGCCCCAGAACCGTGAAGAGGCGAGAAGGATCCTCCCCCGGAATCTCCAGGAGGAACCACCCTGCCAACACCTTGATTTGGGGATTCTGGCTTCCAGACTGATGGAGAACAAATTTCAGTTCCAGGAAACTGTCACAGCAGTGAGAAGCCCCCAGCCCTGGCCCCTCCAGGCTGACGCCTGCTTTGGCTGCAGGCAGAGTTTCCAGCTCCTCGTCTCGAGAACCCCTTGCTTTTGTCCTCCGGTGTTTTCCAAGACCTGCCCTAGTCCCCAGACAGTGTGCTCGTGGGCACAAGGGTGAACAGGCCACCAGGAGAGCCCCCATCCCCGGGCAGCTCAGGGTGAAAACCAGACCGGGTGGTGGGACCGGCCTCACCGCGGCCTCCCAGCCTGCTGGCGCCTCTGGCTACACCCACAGGCCCGTCCTTTGGAAGGCGGGGGACTCCTGCAGGCCCTCGGGCTAGCAATAGCCCGCTGGGGTCAGAGCGGCTGTCCCCACGCCTCCCTGCCTCCTGGGGAGACTGAGCCAAAGGGGGTCCAGCTGGCCACAGCTGCTGCTCCCAGCCCCTGCAGCTGGTGGTGGTTGTGTTTTCCTCTTGCGGAGGAACTCCTGCTCAGGGTCTCACCCCGAGGTCTGGCTCGTGGGGCATGGGTTTCTGCAGTGGGAGGCCTCGGGGCGCACTGGATGACTTGTGTTGAAGCCTGTCTGCAGCCAAGGCTGTGCTCCAGGGCAGGGCGGCGGGGACTCCCTGCTCTGGTTCCCACGGGTGACCTCACCGTGCTGCCAAATTGGCCACCCCCCGCCTAGAGCGCGCTCGTCCCCTCGCCAGGAAGCTTGCACTTGATGGACAGTGAGGATCACCCTGTCCTCCAAACAGACCGCAAGTTTGCTTAGAAAATTAAAGTACAGGGCTGCTTCTGGAGCCCCCTCATCAACTCTCTACTAACTAGCTGTTTTTTAAAGATTTGACAGTTTTCTGATGTGTCTGCAGAATTGTTTTCAGCCACAGAGTATTTCATTTTAGGACTGCAGGGGGCTGGACTCACTAATCCTTTTCATCTGGAGCCCCTGAATAGAGACCCAAACCCTGGCTTTTGTAAATGAAACACAATAATCCTTAGAGCCTCGCAGCCATGGCTCATGTTCTGATAAACAAGCCCTCAGAGATGGGGGCTGAGTGGTCCTGAGTCAGGCGGGCAGGCTCCTTCTGAGACCGGAGCCAGGAGGGGACCCAGGCCCCTTGGGGAAGTGTCTGTCCCTTCGAATCACACAAACCATGCTAAGTGGCTCTCACCGAAGCAGCAGCAGGACCTTTCAGCCTTACCCCCCACAAGCCAAGATGCTCTGCTGTTCTGGCTCCAAAGAACATTTGGGTGGAGGCAGGAAGGCCAAGGTGTCCAACCAAGACAAGGCTATCCACTCAAGGTGGCCTCTCGTCGCGGGTGAGTGTGGTGTGGACAGTGCCCAGGCTTCTCCACAATTCTGATGACAATCCTAGATCTCCACTGCCCACCAGGGCTCTGCACCCCTGGCCCAAGGTGGGGGGCGGAGAGGCTGGATGACCCCAACTGGAGCCCCAGCTCCCACCACCTGGTCCCCGGTTTTTAACTGCATGACCTTCAGCATCTCAGATCCAGGTTGTTCCGGGTTCTCATTAAGGTGAGAAATGAGGCATTTACAACTTCCACCAGGGACCATTGTTATCACGGGACCTTGGCCTCACCTGTATACACCCAGCATTCAAGGCATGTTTTTAGGGTGCCTGCCACGTGCCCAGAAGCTCCATGATCACAGCCTGTGTATTCGGGGCGAGTGAAGACCCAGATGGTACTCCAGTACCACGCGGCAGACCCACAGCATGCAGGGGGAAGGGGGTTCAAACCAAAGCAACAACTAGAAACAGGAGGCTCTCCCAGATGCTGCTGGTTAGCTCTGCATCCCAGGACAGCATCCCACCCCAGGCTCCCTGCCCGACGGCCGATGGCACAGCCAGCGCTCCACCTGCGGGGCCTCCCACAGGATGTGCTGGGCTCCATGTCCCGGAGGCCCCCAGGGGGAGCGACCCAAGCTGCGTGTGCTGCATCGAAGGCTGGACCCACAGACAGGCTCCCAGCTCTGTGGACACCCGACTCCTTGCACCTGAGCAGAAGCAAACTGAGCAGCCTCGAGGGCCGCGGCTTCCAGGCATGGCCATGAGGACCAAGGAGGCTAACCAAGTGCCACCAGAGCACCGCCACGGGAGGCCCCTGAGCCATGGTCAAGGGAGCGTGGCCCGGCTGGTGAGGCAGCATCAGGAGCTCTGCACAGAAGCGAGTTAGACCCCAGCCATGGAAGGAATCCCGGCCCAGATCAGAGAGGGGACGGCTTCCTGGAGGAAGCAGCTTTCTGGGATCGTGGGGTGTGCACAGCACAGCAGCAGGGACAGAGACCCAACAAAGGGGAGGACAGGAGAGAAAGAAGGGGCAGCAGCTATGAGAGGCGGGGGTGAGTGGCGCCTGTGTGGCCCTGAGCACAGGTGAGGAGGAAAGGACAGCTCCGGGAGCCGTGAGGAGGACACAGTGACCCAGAGAGGCAGGTGTCGCTGACCAGCTCTCTAAGGGGCCGACGCTTACTAGAATCCCCAGCACCCACGAGGAGCAGGAGATGCCCTTGGCAGGCCGGCCTGGACAGCAGGGCAGGACAGAGGGAAAGAGCGGGTCTTCCCTTCACATGGGAGAGGCAGGCGTGACCCCGCACATATCGGGGGGCAGCCTCCCTGAGGCTCCTCTGCCGGAATCCTGTGCCCGTGGCTCAGTGGCATGTGAACTGGGGCAGGGTCCTAGCCAGGCACAGGCATTTTCCAGACAGTGAGAGTTTCAGGCTTTGCAGGCCACAGGCTCTCTGTGGCACATTCTCCTTCCCCTTCTTTTAATAGCCTCTTAAAAATAGAAGCAGTCTGCATAGATCAAGAACGGCGGGCAGGATTTGACCCCAGAGCCGTAGTTTGCTGACCCCTGACCCAGGATGCAGCTCTGGAGTTAGCTTTGTGAGCAGCTACCAGCAGATGTCAGAGTCCTACCTGTGGGTGCTCTGAGAGGCTGGGGTGGCCCTGGTCCCCCCGCCCCACACACCCCCTCCCTGGTCTGGGGCTCTGAGAGTGTTGGGGCTCTGGGGGGCTTTTCCAGGGGGCTAGCTCCTCTTTGGAAGTCCCCGTTACAAGTGGCTGTCCCACCCAATGGGATGGACTTGATGCCCGGAGCTCCTGTCTGCTCCAACACTCACGTGCTGACCTCACGGCTCGGGGCCTGGGTCTTTGCGACGGCATGTAGTTTGCGGGGAGTCACCAGACCCCAGAAAGGGTTGGGGATGCTAGGAGGCCTTGGACTTGTGGCCTGGATAGCCCTGGGGGAACAAGGAGAGTGCTGTGCCCAGCTCCAAAACGGGCTGTTCCGACCAGGCTCCCCTTACACCGGCCTCATGCTAACCCGGCCACGGTCTTCTTGGAAGGGCAGCTGGGGCACACCCCACTGAGGACCCTTGCTCTGCAGGGTCTTGGGCATCCTCCAGATAAGTCCAGGGCGTCAAGGCAATCCTGGGATGTGCTGAAGTTTTCAAGTTTTCCAAAAAAGTTAATGTTTTAAGTTTTAAAATTTTCTTAAGTTTTTAATTTGTCAGAATCACTCATAACTAACCCTTGACTTTCTTTTTCACAAAGAAATGAGAATGTGGTACTGTTGGGAAATGAGGTCTTGCCCAGGCAGTGCGGGCTCAGCCTCCTGAGCGGCCTCCTGAGCTGACCCCCAAGCTGAACCCCTGAGTGGCCGGCATGGCCCAGTTGGCTGCACCCACTGCCTCCAGCCCTGGGCCTTGGGCCTTACACCCCATCAACTGCATCTGGTTACAAAGGAGCCATGCCTCTGAGCTCTTAAAAAGATTCCAAACACTGGTTTAGTTGACACAGTCAAGAGTTAAGTCCCGTCAGCACGAATCGAGTGGCTCCAGTGAAGACGTGACTTCCGGGGAGTTTGGAGCCGCGGGGGCCAAGGCTGTGTCACTGAGGGTCTTGTCCCCTGTCTTGTCCGCGTGCACCTCCCGGGGGGTGACGGTGTGAGTGCATGTGGCAGACCGACGCATGCGAGCTCCACGCCGTGGTGCCATGCACCGCTTGCATGGTCAAGGCCAGAGCCCAGAAATGGCTGCGCACATGCGGAGGGCACCTCACCAGAGGCAGGCCCCTGGTTGTTTCAGGGGTTTCACCACTGACACCTGTTACCACCATCATGTTCACGTTGCAGATAAACCCGAGGAGATAGTCCCGGCCTCCAAGCCATCCCGCGCTGCTGATAACGTGGCCATGGAGTCCAGGGTGGCCACCATCAAGCAGCGGCCCACCAGCCGGTGCTTCCCGTCCGTCTCGGACATGAACGTGAGTGGCTGTGCCCTGGGGGATGGCGGGCGGGCCATCTGGGCGGTGGCAGCTCACGCGCTCCAGGCTGTGCAGGCAGGGTGCTCCTCACCATCTCCCGGACTCGGCCACCTGCACTCTGTCTCTGCCTGGCGAAAGGTCTGAGTGTCCCGGTCAGAATTCCTTAGTGCCTTCTCGGAACCCACCTCACATTGAGTCACTTGGTTTCCCCCGTAAACATTGCCGGCTGGATAGGATAGCTTTGTGTGACACACATTAAAACAGAGGCAACTGCTAGCGATGACAGTGGACATGCTCACCCTGCGAACCCCATCATCTCCAGAACCCCGGCGGGGAGGGGCTCCCATAAGCTCTGGGCAACCTCCCCATGCGGGGCCCACCCTCCCCCAGGCCCTGCCCACCATCCTCACTGCCTGCCTTGTTTGCAGCCTCTGGCTGCATCTCAAGCCCCTGCCTCCCGGGCCCTAACACCCTCCAGCTCAGCCTCGGGTCCCAGAGAGCCAGGCAGATGCCCCGAGCCCAGGGGAGATGGGGTGGGTAGGAAGACCCTCCGGGGGTCTGAGCACAAGATGCACAAGAGCTTGCACCCATGTCCCCCAGACTCGGGAGTCCCCCTCCAATGCCATGGGGCGGGACGGGGGGTGGCCAAGCCGGCAGCCCCGTACAGGGAAGTGGCAGGTTGGGTGGGGGCTGCACGGGAATCTGCTTCCTAAGTGAAGGAGGTAAGCCCTAGGTTCCTGCTGGGCCGGCCCACCTGCAGCTGGCTCACTCACACCAGCACCTGGCCTGTGGAGGAAGACAGAGGCTCCTGCTCCACCAGCCACTGGGTGCGTTCCCCTACACAGCAGTGGCCCTGGCCCCTTCTCTCGGGCTGGTCGGCCAGACCACGGCTCAACCAATAGGGCATTTAGAGGGCAGGAGCCAGTAGGCAATGTTCAGGGAGAGCCTCTTCTGGGTCCTTGAAGCTGGTGCATCCTGTTAGCCTCGGCTGCTGGGAGCAGCCCGGGAAGCCAGGTGACAGGTGCCTGCTGCCCAGAGCTGCTGTGACACCCCCTGGGCCTGGTGGCCACGGGTGGTGCTGGTCAAGGCCCACCTCACTCTGGGCTCTCTGGTTTGCAGTCCGTGTACGAACGACAGGGGATCGCCGTGATGACACCCACGGTTCCCGGGAGCCCAAAAGGCCCATTTCTGGGCCTCCCCCGAGGTACGATGCGAAGGCAGAAATCAATAGGTAAGAAGCATGGCCTGTACCCACAGAGGTTGCCCCTGGCTCTCAGAGAAGTCCTCAGAGCCCCCAGGCAGAGCCGCCCCCCAGGCCCACCCACCGGGGGCCTCCGAATGCCCCAGCAGACTGGAACCCTTCTACCTGCTGGAACAAAATCCAGCCTTGCAAGCACGTTATCTGTGCTAACACCAGCAGGGTGAGGGGGCACGTGTCGGGAGGGAGGCAGAGGGCAGACCGGGGTGGTCCGGGAAGCCCCCTCCCTTGCCCCAACGGGGATCAGAGTGGCAGGTGGAGGGGGTCCCCTGCTCAGTGCAATCCCCACGTTCCCCACATTGCCCGGAATGAAACTGCCACGTTTCACAGGGCAAGCCTGGTGGACACACTTCCGAGGGTGGTGGGGCCGGGTTCTAGAACTCGGACAAACCAATGTACGGTACGTTGTGGAAAGTTGCATACCTCCTTGTTAATGTCCCAGTGACACCTACTGACACTTCCAGGCGAGGTGACTGTGAGCCTGCCAGGCAGCCCCTTTGTGAGATACTCCAGCACTGTCTTTACCACGTAAATTCTCAGAGGAGCTGGGCCAGTGAAGGACACCGGCGGACCCAGCCATCCCAGGCTGGCCCTTGGGGACACCACGGGGTGACTTCTGGAAGCACCCCCTACACTGCTGTTTGGGGGCCTGGCTCCTTTGTCAGTGTGAGGTGGCTCACAGCAGTGACTAGACGGTAGTGACCCTGGTGGAGGTGCCATCTGGCTCCTGAAACCCGCCCTCCCAGGCGCGCAGGGCCACTGCAGACTAGCATAGACGCCATATTGGGTCCCTGGCTCTGTACCTGGTTAATAACAATTGATTTCCTCCTGTCAGACAGCAGAATCTTTCTATCAGGTTAGTGAACCTTATGGTTTGGAATCTGTGATCTGAATGCAACCCCTATTCTTACTCTATAAGGTGTATTCTTAAATTATTACTCCTTGGGAACATCGCTGTCAGGCAACCCACGTGTAGCAAATGGTCAAGAAGAAGGCCTTTTAGCAATCCGTCTGTTTGATGCCAAAATACCCTCCCACAGGAGTACGTTAAATTGGGAATACCCTTATCGAATGGAAATTTTCATTGGAATAAATTATCGTAGTTTGTCCTAAAAGTTGTTTTTGATTTGAAGTAATTCATTCTGTTACCTCTTTGAGCCCCTGCATGACCCCTGTGTGAGACCCGAGTCCCTCCCACCTGTCTGTGTCTGTGTCTGCTTCCCATTTCCTGGAGTGCATTCTGTTGATGTTTCCCTATCTCAGACCAACGGAAAGAGAGTCTGTAAGCGCTACCCAATCGACCCACACAGAGGAGCCAGGCCCAGCGAGGCCAGGCGTCCACCATCACCACACCAGGCCCCTCGGCACATTCACACCCAACAGGCACTGCTTCACTAGGTCAGGTCCTGGGGCACGGCCTGACTTTGTGCCAAGTCAGCCAAATGCTGACCCGGGTTAGTGGTGACAGTAGACAGCGCCTGGCCCCTCAGCCCAGCCCAGAGGGTCTTAGGACCCGGGGAGTCTCCTGAGGCCAGTGGCCCAGGGTTTGCTCCGGAAGCTGTTCCTGGCTGGGGTTGGTATCTTGCGTTAAAGAGCAGTCTGGGCCCCATCCCCTCAGGGGCATGCTGAAGAGCCAGAGGGGCCTTCTCTGCCTCACAGCCGTTCTCCTGAGGGAGCGCCAACACCCTCAAGCCACCAGTCCCCTGTCACACAGGCGAGGCCAGCTCTCACGCCCCTCAGGAGCAGCCCCGCCCACGTCACATGGGCCTGGCCTCTGATGGGCAGCGCGCGACAGCATCTGCCCCCAGGTGCCAGAAACAGCCCCAGGGCCCTGGCCGATCCTGACAGGACAGATGTGTGCTGACCCAGCCCAGCCCCAGGGTGTGTTCACGCGCACCCACATGCTCACACGCAGCTCGTGGCCCCGGGCACCTGCCCGGCCTCGCATGTGCCTCCCACCCGCTGCTGTGGGCGCTGCATGCAGAACATCTCAACAGCACGCACCCGATGCTTCCCAGCACCTTTCTCTTTTTTTTCTTTCCTTTCCCTGTTTCTTGTCTTTTCCTGGGGGGGCTCGGATAGGCCACGTAAGCTCTTGGCGTGGTGGCTTGTGCTGTGTTCCGTGAACAAGTGTGCACCGTGGTTCACTGTGCTTGTGCAGACGTAGCGTGTCACACAAACCTAGGAGCTTGGTGGGGCGTGTCACGGTTTAAAACTTAAGCCTGCCTTCTCCTTGCAGGAATAACGGAGGAAGAGCGGCAATTTCTGGCCCCTCCGATGCTGAAGTTCACCAGAAGCCTGTCCATGCCGGACACCTCCGAGGACATCCCCCCCCCACCGCAGTCCGTGCCCCCGTCCCCCCCGCCCCCATCCCCCACCACCTACAACTGCCCCAAGTCCCCAACGCCGAGAGTCTACGGGACCATCAAGCCGGCGTTCAATCAGAACTCCGCTGCCAAGGTGCCCCCCGCGGCTCGCTCGGACACGGTGGCCACGGTGATGAGGGACAAGGGGATGTACTACCGGCGGGAGCTGGACCGCTACTCCCTGGACTCCGAGGACCTCTACAGCCGCAGCGCTGCCGCCCAGGCCAACTTCCGCAACAAGAGGGGCCAGATGCCGGAAAACCCATACTCGGAGGTGGGGAGGATTGCGAGCAAAGCCGTGTACGTCCCTGCCAAGCCCGCCCGGCGGAAGGGCATGCTGGTGAAGCAGTCCAATGTGGAGGACAGCCCCGAGAAGACGTGCTCCATCCCCATCCCGACCATCATCGTGAAGGAGCCCTCCACCAGCAGCAGCGGAAAAAGCAGTCAGGGCAGCAGCACGGAGATCGACCCGCAGGCCCCCGAGCAGCCAGGCCAGCTGCGGCCCGACGACAGCCTGACCGTCAGCAGCCCCTTCGCCGCCGCCATCGCCGGGGCCGTCCGCGACCGGGAGAAGCGGCTGGAAGCCAGGAGGAACTCCCCGGCCTTCCTCTCCACGGACCTGGGGGACGAGGATGTGGGTCTGGGGCCGCCCGCCTCCCGGGTGTGCTCCTCCAACTTCCCCGAAGAGGTCGGCTTCGGCGAGGAGGATGGCACTGAGCCACTGTCGCTGCCCACCTCGGGGGCACCGCCCAGGGAGCCCGAGAACCACTTGGTGGGTGGCGGTGAGGCTGCAGCTCAGGGGGAGGCCGGCAGGCCGCTGAATTCCACACCCAAAGCCAAGGGCCCCGAGAGCAGCCCCACTGTGCCCCCCAAGAGCAGCAGCATGGCCGGCCCTGAGAATTACGTCCACCCGCTCACAGGCAGGCTGCTGGACCCCAGCTCCCCGCTGGCCCTGGCGCTGTCTGCAAGGGACCGAGCCATGAAGGAGTCCCAACAGGGCCCCAAGGGGGAGGCCCCCAAGGCCGACCTCCACAAACCTCTCTACATCGATACCAAAATGCGGCCCAGTGTGGAACCAGGCTTCCCCCCAGTCACCAGGCAGAACACGCGGGGGCCCCTGAGGCGGCAGGAGACCGAGAACAAGTACGAGACGGAGCTGGGCAAGGACCGGAAGGGCGAGGACAAGAAGCACATGCTCATCAACATCGTGGACACGTCCCAGCAGAGGTCGGCCGGCCTGCTGATGGTCCACACCGTGGACGCAGCCACCACCGACCACCGGCTGCAGGAAGAGGAAGAGAAAGCCGATGTGGAGGCCCAGCCAGACCACTCGCTGCCCGAGGTGCCAGAAGGCACTCCCGAAACCGAAGGTGCTTTACAGATCTCCGCCAGCCCCGAGCCCGCCGCCACCGTGCCCGGCAGGACCGTTGTGGCGGCGGGCTCCGTGGAAGAGGCGGTGATTTTGCCATTCCGCATCCCTCCTCCCCCTCTGGCATCCGTGGATCTGGATGAGGATTTTATTTTTACAGAGCCATTGCCTCCCCCCCTGGAATTTGCAAACAGTTTTGATATCCCCGATGACCGCATCGCTTCTGTCCCCGCTCTCACGGACCTGGTCAAGCAGAAGAAACAGGATGCCTCCCAGTCCCCTTCGTTGAACCCCAGCCAACCAGCCAACTGTGCAGACAGCAAGAAGCCGGCTGGCCTTTCCAACTGCCTGCCTGCCTCATTTCTGCCGCCCCCCGAGAACTTTGACGCGGTCACGGACTCTGGGATCGAGGAGGTGGACAGCCGGAGCAGTAGCGACCACCATCTCGAGACGACCAGCACCATCTCCACAGTGTCCAGCATGTCCACCCTGTCTTCTGAAGGCGGGGAGAGCGTGGACACCTGCACAGTCTATGCAGATGGGCAAGCATTTACGGTCGACAAGCCCCCAGTACCTCCGAAGCCAAAAGTGAAGCCCATAATTCCCAAAAGCAATGCACTTTATCAGGATGCACTAGTGGAGGAGGACGTGGACAGCTTCATCATCCCTCCCCCGGCACCCCCGCCGCCGCCGGGCAGCGCCCAGCCTGGGGCCACGAAGGTGACACCGCCAAGGACCTCCAAGTTGTGGGGGGACGTCTCCGAGGTCAGAAGCCCAATTCGCTCAGGCCCGAAGGCAAACGTGATCAGTGAGTTGAACTCAATCCTGCAGCAAATGAACCGAGAGAAATCAGCAAAGCCAGGGGAAGGATTGGATTCACCCACAGGAACCAAGCCTGCCGGCCTCACTCCAAGGTAAGTCCCGCAGTTGGCGTAGACGCAGACTGCCCTGTGCCGGCTTTCCTGCCTCGTCCAGTCAGGGCCGACCAGGAAAGGCCCTTGGGGAGCAGCCAGAGCAGACGTGACGAGGGGACTCCATAACGCCTTTGTGCTGGCCGCACCTGTTGCACCCCACCCTCCTGGACTCCGGCACAGCAAAGTGCACACGCTGCAGACATCCTGGCAGGAGGCGGCACTCCCCAAGTGAAGACCTGTAGTGAAATGCAGCCACACAAGGCCAGCCCCACTGCGGCTTCCAGAGAGGAGCGCTGGTCCCTGTCGTTCCATGTCCTGCAAACCTTTGCCAGGACCCCCTGTAAGGTCATCCTGGAGCCTCGCAGAAGCCAAAACTGAGCTCTGCCAAGCTGGTTGCAGGAAGTAGCCATGCCAAAGGAGAGCGAGTGGGTCGGTGGCGTGTGTGAACGTGTGATTAAGTGTGCATGGATCCTTCTCGCTTCCTCCGGTCACTGACGGGTTGGAGAGCTGGGGAAGGCGCCAGGTTGTGGCTTCACTAGTGAGCTCAAAGGGAAATGCCCCCCTCCCCGCCAGCCCAGCAGGCAGGCATCATGGAAGAGGGCATTCACATCTCCCGGGGGTGACCATTCACGGTTTCACGCAGCATTCAAGGTGCTGCTGTTGCAGCTGGGGGTAGAATATGAGGAGTCACTTCTGACCGGAGCCAGAAGGCTCTGGCGAGGCATGCCATGCTCTACAGCAGGCCCCTCGCTCTCCACCTAGAGCTTTGGGGTGATTCTCACCAGAGCGGTTTGCTCCCCCAGACCCTCACCGTGCTGGGCGTTCTTCCCCGTGACGCAACTCCGTTCACTATCCCGCACGGCTGTTCCTTGGCCTCCCGCACTGCTGTCCGCTTCCAGATCTCGTCGCTTTGACTAACGAGTCTTCGTGCTCCCTCTGGACAGGCGTTTGACTCAAACGTTTCAGTCCGTTAACCAGCGACACCCCCTGTGGTTGGACCTGCAGAGGCGGGCCGAGACCAGTTTTCCCAGTTACCCTTTAGTGTGGATGTAAATAAATTACTCGGATGGCTCCCAGTACACTCAGAGAAATAATGACTGACCAGCCTTGGTAGAGAGAAGCAGGACGACACTCCATCCACTAAATGTGACATTCAGATAATACCTCCAGTTGAAAACAAAGTCTGCAAAAAGCCACCATTTCTGGGGGACGTCTGCACCTACATACCTACAAATATTATATACTCAAATGTCTGAAAGGAAAATCTTAAAAACTGGCCAGTTTTGCCCTTTCCCTGTATGTGAGAATACAGTTCTTTGTTGCTACATCACGTGAAAGAACAAGAAAGAAGATGCTTTGTCTTCAGTGCTTCACATTTTACAGAACACTGGCCCATGAGTGCAGGGGAACAGGTACTGATTGTACCCCTTCTCCACATATGGGAAGCAGGGCACTGAGTGGCTGGGCACCATGCGCAGCGGGAGATCGAGCCAGGACTCAGGCTGAGGGCCTGGCCTGCCACTTTCCCTCGTTGCCAGTGTCTGAGCTCGGCAGAATCTGAAGGGATGACTCAAGAGCTGCTCAGGGCCTAAGCCCTGCTGCCCCGAGCCCTCCCACCCCAATCCAGGGCCCTCTGGATTGCTTGCCACCTCCACTCCCTTCCCAACTGGGTGAGCTCCTGGGGGCGCGGGGAGAGTGGGTGTCAAGCTGCATGTGTCCCGAGGGCTTCCCCGCCTGCATTTCCCTCGGTGGGAGGGGCCTCAGAGCGGACGTCACCTGGCAGAATCCTGTTGGATTTCTCGAGAGCAGCTGCAGGACCACCTCCAAGCGATGCTCAGATGCCAAGAACAGCCACCTCCGGTCTGTTCTGTTATTTATAACCCAGTTCACTTACAATGAGAACATCAGCCGACATCTCTCGAGGCCTCCCCAAATGCTAGGCACCACGCCCCACAGGCCCCGCTGACGCGGGGCCTGCCGTTATTCCCCGTGTGCACATGACCAGACTGAAGGTCAGACGGGCGGACAGGTGGCCGGAAGGCCAAGACCCGACTGCCGACCCGGGGAGCATCTCAGGGTCCCACTCCCGAGCTGTTGCAGGAGCCAGGGGTCAGCCCGGGAGGAAGGGGCGGCTGCCCAAGCTGTCGGCAGGGCTGGGATCGCCGAAGGCAGGCCGTCCCCAGGCCTTTGCGGCTCGCCTGAGCCCAGCTGCATGCCGGAGCCCTCCTCTTTGGTGGCCCGGGGGCTGACGGTAGGCCAGGCCAGTCGCCAGGCAGCCTCCGGCTGAGCACCCAGGGCGGCGTCCTATTCTCGGCTCTCGGCCAAGGGTGGCACTGAGTTGGCCTGGGCATCCGATGGCCCTGAGCCCCAAGGACAAAGAGAAAGGGCCTCGCCTTCAGGTGCCACACTGGGCACTCCACCAGCTACTGTGGCTTTGCTGATTTCACAGCCTCACCAGGCAAAGCCCGAAGCAGATGTCAGCTGTGGCCATGAGGCTGCTGACAAGGGTGCGGTGGGTGACAGCCGCTGGGCAGCAACCCGAGGTGGGGCTAGCCTGCCCCCTTGCGCGCACATCTGCCCCGGGGGCAAGCCTCTCCTTTGCTGGGTCTTGCCTCGGTTGACAGGCCCGGGTATTTGCCCATTTGGAGATCAACTGCCAGGGTGGCTCCCCGCTACTTTTAAATGCATCCAGGAGCTCGGGCTGGGAGTGGCCCTGGGCAGTGTGAGGCGTGGACCTGCACGCAGGGCATCCTCCTGGGGAGAAGCAAAGGCGTTTCTCTAGGGAGAATGAAAAGCGACCACATGCATAAATCCTTTCTCCACAGAAACTGTTTCAATCGCCCAAGAGAGCTTGAGTTTTGGAGCTCACCCCTTTGGGATTACCTGCCCCCTTGGGTGCTTCTTAGCAACTGAGGTGAGACTCTTCACTTCTCACTAGAGCCCAGGGTGGGACAAGACCCTCGCTCACCTGAGGACATGAAATTTGACCTGAGCCACGCAGCTCCTGTCTGTTCCCCCAAATCAGAGAGGACTCGGGATCTGGAGATGTCTTGATTACAAATACGCTGGCAAGAACACAATCAAGTAGCTTTCCTGAGTACCAACGTTGGAGGCGCCTCCTCGGCCCCATCTGAAAACACCCCACTAAGGAAGGAGCCACCAGGCAGCTCTGGGGAAAGCCTGGTTTTTCCAAGAAGTGACCTCATCTTTGAAGAGAGTGTCAGTCTGGGTCACAGCAAAGCAAGCTGTGGTTTGAGGGCGTCTGCGAGGAGTCTGCAGAGCCCCAGCCCTTCCCAGGAAGCTCAGGGTCAGGCAGACGGCCAGCCACACTGCCCTTAGAACAGCGCGGGTAAAGGCACTGTCCATGGCTGCAAGGATGTCCTTCCTATGCATGGGCTTTTTCCTCTTCAAAGCCCTTTGGTGATACGACCCCTGAGGATTTGGTGGCGTTGGAGGGCTCTGCAGGAGTGGTTTTCTCCCCATTGCGGAGCACTTGATGTTTTGCTTGAAGTCACGTGGCCCAGTGTGCCCCCCACACACTCCAGGGCACAGATGGGAAGCTGATGGGACACTCCATCCTTGAGCCTGGAAACCCAGCCTGGCCCAGGGCCTCCTGAGTCCACTGGCCGGGAGTCCCTGAGCTGCTGTTTTGTAGGAGGCCAGGGCCAGGCCTGAGGGTGGAGAGTAGCAGGAGAGATACACACCCACAGAGGCCTGGGCCTTTGGAAGCGGGGCAGCAGACGCAGAGTTGTCGATGACCTCTCCCGTGCCAGGTGCTGTGCTGAGCCTCGGGGCTCATCCCCAAACTGGAACACATTCCAGGTGTCTCCTCCACTGGGGAGCTGTACTCTCAAGGGGGGAAATGGGCAAGTAGTAATGAACAAACCCAAAGTGCACCAAGTGATACAAAGGAACAGGGATATCTTCACAAGTCCGAGTCAACATGGACAGGAAGGAGGTGACAGTCCTTAAGGAAGTGAACTCTGAATGACCAGAAATAAAGCCAGACGTGCAGAAAATCAGGAGTGGAGCCTGCCAGGCACGGGGACAGCGTACACAAAGCCTAGAGGCCAGAAAATGCTTTCCATGCCAAGGGAGGGCTGGCGGACCTTGGGGTGGAGAGGGAGAGCAGGACTGTGTGCGTCCCGCAAGAGGGCAGCCGTCCCAGGCTTCGCATGACCTGACCTCCGTGTCACAGTCCCCGGCAGCCATCCAGTGCAGCAGCTCTCATGGTGGAACAGGTGCCCTTCACTGGCCGCGGCAGGGTCCGTGTGCGAGGCCAGGGGGCCTGCGCTCTGCAGACCAGGGGGCAGATTCGAAGGCCAAGGGCCTAAGGAACCCAGAACGGCACCTCCGTTTGCCTGACTTCCATGCTTTGGCAGCCCAGACAACCCAGACATCCCTTCCAGAGCAAGTCAGACGCGCTGCTCTATGTCCAGCAAGTCCACGGCCGTGGAGAGTCAGTCTTGTTTTCACCCTGTGTGTGCTGGGGTAGCAAGCAGTGGACATACACTTGTGGGGGTCCCCCTTCTGCTTCCGTCCAGAGGGCATGGCATCAGCTGGATCCCAAGGCCCCTCTAGGTTACCCAGCTCTTCTTGGCCTGGCCTCCACCTCCCAGGGGCACAAATGGGCTCGGAGGAGGAGAGCCATCCTCCCGAGGCCCCCTGCATCTGCCCTCTCCTGACCGGTGCCTCCAGCGCCTCCCTGGCTCTGCAGTATTATCCTGAGAGCCTCCTGGCCTTAAAATAAATCAGTCTGGGTTGTTAAAAAAGTATCTCCGCCGAGGTGGTCCCAGAGCATGGACTTCAAAGCCGACAAGAGAAGCTGCCGAACGGCATTCCCTTAACCTCGACGCCGTCACGGGTCACGGGGGTTTTACCGTTTCACAGCCCCCAACTGAAATGGGAAGGAGATGTCAGTGAATGGAAGGGTAGATAATTGGGTAAGCACTATGCCTAGGGGATCGTGCAATTTGCTCTTGGTGTGTTTTCTTGTAGACAGTATTCGAGGAGGGTTATTCCAGTCCGGCTACAGCCTTTCCCCATGATCACAGGTGTGGTTCTTAGGTTCTCACTTTCCCGTCCGGATGTTAGGATCGGTCGGCAGGAGCATGTCAGCGGGTGAATGCTGCTCCCTGAAAACGGGATGCCTTCTTGACCTGCTTGGATGTGAACGTTCTGGCAGGAGGACCCCGGCTCCTGACAGACCCAAGGCGCCCACCCACGCTCCCAGTCACTTAACGTGCCAATCGGGCCACAAGCTGAACAGTACCCACCCACCATTCAGGCAACCATGACAGCGCACACCGACTGTGGGCCTAGGCCCCTGATGGTGCTCAGGGCTCATGGCGGCCATGAGGACTAGGTGTCAGAGGCACAAACACACCCCAGGCATGGAGCCAGGGAGACACAGGGTAGTGCTCGGGCCTTGGGCAGGCGTGGGAATGACTCGGTTGCCCTCCCCACCTCCCCTGTCCCAGGGCCACTTCATAAGAGCACTTTGGCAATAAGTGCCGCGTCCACATGAGACGGGTTCCTCACGAGAAGGCCCTGGTAACTGAAACGCAGAGGTAGGACCGGTCACACTGGGACAGTCTGGTGCCAAATGGGTTCAGAGCCTCTGCCCCAGCTCGCGTGCGGGACGACACACCTCACCGGCGTCACCGAGCAGCCTCTGGCCCACATTCAGTGGCTGTTCAAGAGCCAGATGGAATCTGTAAACACACTGAAAAAGCCACTTGAATCTGCCTTCCCCCACCCCAGTGAACTGGTTCTGGCTAATGAAATAACGACGCATCTCTGAGAGTGTCAGCTCTCAATTCTTGTTTTAATTCGTTTTCCATATGGATTTGATTTAAAAAGGCAGCCTAAAGAGCGCTGATCCAGGAGAGGGTGTGTGCATGTGCATGTGTCTGTGTTCTAAATCAGGGCGACAGATTCCTGCGTGTTCCACCCGGGAACCCAGTGGTTGCTTAGCAACGTACCAATCTCTGCAGCCAGGAGGATCCAGTGAATAATGTCAGCGTGATGAACTGAGAGTAATCAAGCTACTGAGAAGGAGAGCAGGATGGGCCAGCCCGGGGAGGGCCTTCGCTCTGCTTCTCAGGCTCTCTGGTTACTCTTTTCCACAGCGACTTTCCGCAGGCCCCAAGCGCGTGGCCAGATCTGGCACCCCCCCATTATCAGTTGCCGGGCTCTCGGCTCACGGTGGAGACTTGAAGCAAAGCACAGGTACCCGCGGGGCGCCTTCCCCCACCAGGAATGTTGACTTAGGCTTGCCAAGCTGCAGAAGACAAAGGACAGACGGCTTGGGAGCCCTCGTCAGGGTCTTAGCAACGAGCTGGTCCTCTGAGGACTTCAGGCACAGGCTCATGTCATTCCAATGCTGTGGTCCTCGCTTTCTCACCAGGCTTTCCCTGGATAATTTTCTTCATGTTCACATTATCCCAAGCCAGAGAAGGCAGGGTCGTGAGTTTCCCATTCTAAACATGAAAGTGATGCCCGTATTCATCTTCTGTCCTGGCCAGTGAGGCGGACTGCCCACTCTGCCTGCTTCCTCGGCCAAAAAGGAACCAGCCTCGGGGGATTCTCAGCCGACATCTGTATCCCTGCTTTCATTTCATCCATCGAAAAAAAGCTTCTTTTTTAATTTTAATTAATTTTGCAGTGTTGTCTCAAGCCATTCCATTCTGTCATTTTCATGTGCTCTCGTGATGGGTGTTCACAGAAGAGGGTCATGCTGAACAGAAGTAAGTGCCACTCACAAAACTGCCTTGATTTCTGGTGTGTGCTGTTCCCCCCTTCTCCCCCGCCCACCAGTGTGTTCGGAAAGCCTGCTCTTTGTTTCCAGCAACAAACACAGCTGCCTGCAAGGCTTTCCTTTTTCAAAAAGCTACCTGGAAACGGTTGGACGGCCACCCTCTGGCTCGGAGGTGCCCGCTGTTCAGTGTGGCCCGGGCTTGGGGGACCCCTCCCCGACTGTGCTGCCCCGGTGGGTCCACCCAGAGTCAGGGACATGGGCACTGTCACCATGCAGTGTCACCTCTAGAAAAAGCACATCAGGACTGTTACTACAAAGCAACACCTGAGCAAAGATGCTCTTGTAGATTTACCCACTTTACAAAAAACTTGTCTCTTCCCCAAAGGTTCTAGGCCCTAATGAACAACTCAGATCACCTCTGGATGGAGCGGCTTTGTGCCTATTCAACCACCTTAGCTTAACTGTATCAAAGCAGAACCAATGAGTCTTCCCAAAATAGAGGTGCCCCAGCACCATGGAGCAGACACAGGGAGGGTACGGGCCACCTTGATGGACACTCCACAGCACTCCCTGCCAGCGCGCGCTTTGGCCCAAGCTGGAAGTGGAGCGGGTCTTCCGATCCTACTTGAGCAGCAGAACGTGCAGCTCTCCCCTTAAACCCTTGCTGCCCCACCCCTCTCTCAAGAACCTGATCTAGGTCCCAGAGGTGCTGGCTCCCCGTCCCTACAGCTTGCACCATCGGGGCTCCTACTTCTGGATTTGGAGTAACCAAGCCTGGCAGTGGTGGGAGGGGCTGCCTTTACTGGCCAGTATAACCAGTACACCAGTAACCGGCACCCAAAGCCCCGGAGGTTCTTGACGGAAGTCTCCTGTTTGTACCAGATCCCACCCGGGGCACCTGGCCCTCCAGGAAGCTGCATGGGGACACTCTGGGGGTGGCTGTCCCTGGCCCAGTCGCATCCACCTGCCCCTGGCAGTGCTCGTGTCAGGATCAAAGTGGGAGTCCACCCAGGCCCCTCTACATCTGCTGCTTCCACATCCCGTCCTTGAAGCAGCTGAGACTGCCATCCGGTGCACAAGTGTCACGAGCTTGGAGATACGCAGGTAGCTGACATGTGGGTGCTTGTACCCACATATCAGCGCCAGAGAAAACACACAGCAGCAAAGAAAAGCCAGGGAGAAGACGGGCCAACTGGGCCTCGTGCCCAGCTCACCCCTCCGTGTACAGAGCCCCCCCCCACCCCTGTCCTTGTCCATTTTCATCACCCACCATGGCCGCACCTGTGCGGCTCCTCACGCACTCCTGAACACACCCTACCCCGACTCTCCCACCTGGGCGGGAGAGGAGCCCATTTCACGTATGAAGACACGGAGACTCACAGGCTAAAATGTGCCTATGCTGGTGTTTGGTGGAGCTAGGCTTCATCCATCTTAAGTCCAAATCCCAAGGAGGAACCCATAGTAGGAGGGATCCTTCCGGAAGGGGGTGGGTGGTCGGTCCACACTCACATGAATGAGCCCAAAAGACAAGAAACACATAACTCTTGCCACCTCCCCTGTTGGCTGTGGCTTTGTTGGGCTGGTAGCATGGATACGCCTTCCGTTTGGGGACAGTAGAGAAGAGCATGAACCAGGGCCTAGAGGCGTGGCTGTTCTCTGTATGTGGCTGGAAAGCCTCCGGTGGGCCTTGTCCAGACCCAGGGAGGGGGCCCTGTGCAGGTGAGCACAAAGACCAGAGACTTCCCTGGCACTGAGATGCAGTCTCCTCCCCTCAGGTCATCCAGTGTCCCCCTGAGGCCCGTAAAGGCCGAGCCTCAGAGGCGCAAGTGTACCCCACTCCAACCCCTCGGGCTTCACCTGCCTGGCCAGAGCAGGAAGGACATGGGGGACTCCCAAGGACTCCCCTGGCCACTTGGGAGAAGGGGGTTCCTTTCAGATTTCTGCTTTTTGGTGAGGATCGTACCTACCGACACTGAGCTTCCCACACTGCCTTCATGTGGGGAGAGAAAACACATTAGCGCACCCACTCCATTCTGCAATCAAATGGCCCCGCTGACACTGGACCCAAAGTCGCAGCAGTTCTAGGTTTAGCCCTCCGGGTCAGTACAGACTGCACTCTGGCAAATTACTCCTTGTTCTCAGGGTCCGTGGATGGTTTCTTCAAACCCTGAGTGCCCCCAAGTAGGTGTGGGGCTTCCCACTCACTGCAACAGGACCAGCCTGCAAGGGACCCTTCCCTGCACTTGTCCTTTCAAGCAGAAAAGCCCAAGGCCTGACAGGCAGTTAAGAGGGAGGGTCTCTCCCCAAGGGTGTTCTTCCTTCTATGTGCCGAAACGGAGGCAAAAGCTGTCCTTTGCTCATACTGGTGATGATGACGTGTCTCACCCAGGGAGCAGGACCTTGTTCAGGTCCCGTCCTCAAGTCTTTGAGTGAGCCCTTAAAAGTGCCTCCCAGGCCGCCCCGGTCTGGCCCTCCCTGCTCAGCTGGTGCAGGTGCAGGCGCCCCCACCCGGCAGCCACCCCCTCGAGGGGCCAGGTGAGTGGGCCGCCTTGGTGTGCTGTGGCTTCTTCTCAGAACTCTGCCTCCTGCCCCCTTCTGCCCTGCCCCGGTCCTAGCATGGCAAGTGGTCCACTCACTGCCAGTGAGGCTGCCCCTAGAGTGTCTCCCTCCCAGCCTCGCCCAACCTTGGCGGTCTGCATCCCGTTGACCCATGTCGTGACGCGGCTTGTGTGATACTTGTCTCTGTTGCCGTTTCAGAAGTCCAGAGGTCATGAGCACCGTCTCAGGTACGCGGAGCACGACGGTGACCTTCACAGTGCGCCCGGGGACCTCGCAGCCCATCACTCTGCAGAGCCGGCCCGCAGACTTTGAGAGTAGGACCTCAGGAACAAGACGTGCCCCGAGTCCTGTGGTGTCGCCAACAGAGCTGAGCAAAGAGATCCTGCCTGCCCCCCTCTCCGCCGCTGCTGCCGCTCCTTCTCCCACTCTCTCAGAGGTCTTTAGCCTTCCAAGCCAGCCCCCGTCCGGGGACCTGTTTGGCTTGAACCCGGCGGGACGCAGCAGGTCGCCATCCCCCTCGATACTGCAACAGCCAATCTCAAATAAGCCTTTTACGACTAAGCCTGTGCACCTGTGGACTAAACCAGACGTGGCGGATTGGCTGGAAAGTCTAAACTTGGGTGAGCATAAAGAGACCTTCATGGACAATGAGATTGACGGCAGTCACCTACCAAACCTTCAGAAGGAAGACCTAATAGATCTTGGGGTGACTCGGGTCGGGCACCGGATGAACATAGAAAGGGCTTTGAAACAGCTGCTGGACAGATAAGGGTGGCTGCTCTTTACCTTTACAGACTTCTTGTTATAAGTAGAGATGGGCTTCTACTGAAATATTTGGGCGGCCAAGCACAGTCTGTGAGCACCAACCCCATTCCATGGGTTTGTCTCCTGGTACCCAAAGAAATGCCAAGTGTGTCCAGGTGTGGCTGAGCGAAGGCCTTGAAACGCCCCCACTCTCCACGTGGGCTTCACGGGCTCTTTCTGTGCAGCAGGGGACACGGGGAGGGAGTTCTGCCACCACGGAAAGAGGCACAGCTTGCCTCCCAGCATGCAGGTGACCTCACTTTGCCCGGTCCCAGGGACGCCCCCGTCGATTTAGCACGGGACCCTTGCTCTTGCAGGCAGACACCAGTGTCCTCTAGATACCTCCTGAGACCTCCCTCCTCTGCTTTCTGGGCAGCTCTCACCACCCCAGGCCCGCCTCAGTCTGTGGCCTCCAGGAGGGCACTCAAAGCTCACTTGCTCCTTTCTTTCCTCTACTTTGCTTGCGGTAAGACACCCCAGACCTGTCTGTCCGGTGCCCCTTCTTGGGCCCGAAAGGTAGAGAATCTTTTTTTCCTCTGGATTCTTTACCCCATCTCCTCCTGCAATGTGCATCCGTGGTTCTCTGGCCATGAAGTTCTTGGTCGTGGTGGGGAGTCTGAATGGGATCGTGCCCAGCTTTGCTTAGCTTTCTTTATTTCTGCAAATCTATTAGCATAATTCCAAAGTGGCCAAACAGATGTCACACGGAGTTAGTCAAAGCACAAAGTCACGATTCCAAGGAGGAGGGGAGACCTGGCTATGGGACGCAGCCAGTGTGTGGCTGCCTGGGTCCCAAGTCCCCTCCAGGGGAAGAGCAGTCAGTCATCTGCCAGGAGCGTCTCCAGGACGGTGAGAAGGGGTTCTCTGCCTTTCGCAATTTTTTTTTAAACTGAAAGTGTGTTGCATTCTGCAAAATCAGAGCAGATGAGCGTCCACTTTAACACGAGGGTGGGACACGAGGTGAACGGTGGGCGCGCGCTGCGGTGGAGGAGACCGCATCTTCCCCGGGGCTGGGTGGGGCGCCGTGATGTCAGGTCCGAGCCCGGCCCAGGGTGAGCATCTCCGCCGAGACAGCCTCTCTGCTCTCCGAGGCCAGGGAAGATGGTACTTGGGGGCTCTCCCCCTCTGTCTCCAACTGTCCACGCAGCCCCCCAGTTTGTCTTACAACAGGCTTCTTGAGCACCCAGTGGGTACGGCGTCTAGACTGGACCCCACGCTGAGAACACACGGGGGGCTACAGGCTGCGGGTGCAGGCAGACAAACGAAGGAAGGGAAGCCAGGGAGGTTTCCCGGGCTGCGCCAGGCCCCTCTCGCAAGGCTCTCCTGAGCTGTGCCCATTCTCCTCCCTGGAGTCCCCTCCCCCGTAACAATACCTCCGGTTTCCAGGGGAGGTTGCCACCTGCACGGGGAGCCACCGGACATCCAGCCAGGCCTCCAGCACATTCTCCCACACTTGGAAGAAACTCGAACAGCAGGTTTTGGCTTTTATTATGATTTCAGAACTAGCCTAGCCCATCTCTAATTATAAAAACACGATTTTTTTTTTTTCCTTTCTTTTCTTTACGCTCACAATCAAGTGTCTGATTAGGTCCGGAACAGCTCTAGAATGAACACATAAAATTTAGCAATTTAAAATCTCTTTCTTTACTGCAAGTTTAAATAGTTGTACAGATAGTTTATAAGCACAATATTTTAAGAAAAAAAAGTGGCTGGTCTACTAGGCAGCCTTTGTGCCACTTCAGTGCTAGAAAGTTAAAGAAAAAAAAACTTTTGTGATTTAATAACACTATTTCTGTGGAATTATAAAAGTATGACCTTTTTAAATCAACCTTATTTGGATGCATCTGAACCAGCAGAGCTGTGTTATATTTTCTATCTTTGCTAGAACTTCGTCATCAAAGGACAATTATTTCTTCAAAAGTGGTTACAATTCACAATGCAGCAGTTTCTCCAAAAACAAACATGCACCACACACACGTGTGTGTGCGCGCGCACACACACACATACACAGTTTTTCCAGCCACATGCCCCTGAATTGGAAACTTGAGTTTTGGACCTTTCTGTGTTCCAAACCCTTCTGCAGGGCAATCTGTATTTGAATGCCCCGATCCAACGTGAAATCAATTGAACACAAAGGCGCTTCTGTCCTGTGCACCTTTCGTCTCTCAGTCGTGGGGTGTGCTGGGGACGCCACGGGTGGCCTACTGAGGCCACCTGCCGAGTGTTCAGGAAACAAAAAGGTGGTGGTTGGGCCATTACTTGTCTTCCTTTTGGTGATAGAGCAAAATTCAGTCAGTGCACCGCTCACCCTGGTTCTTCCCTCCTCTGTCTCCTGTTCAGCATTACCTCCACGCTCAGTGCCAGGCAACACGCCAGAAGGAGAGGACAGGAAGGGAAGGCGCTGCTAGGTTGCCACCTGGTGGCTTTAGGTTCACTGGACTTTGGCTGCCACTCCCTTTCTTAGAGAGACGCCAAGCCACGGGCAACTAACCAGAAGCAAGCAGAGTGCAAGACAGAAAAAAAAAGCTGGGCAGTCACTTATTTTTGCCTTGTCTTATTCTAGAAAAGTCACAGGACCCCGCAGAACCTGCACTGACCAACAGAGTAACCCATGTTGCCAAGATGAACCCATCTCTAGCCCTATTCGATGGTGTTGCTACAGAAAGCAATAGTTCCTCACTGAGATCGCCGCCCACTGTTCTCCCTCCCCGCCCCCCCCTTGGACACATTAGGACCAGGCCCTATTCCATGACCTCCTCAATGGTGGGACCCAAGTCAAACTGCTCATATAAAGATCATGTTAATACTATTCCGGGTTTTAAGATCAACTTTTGTTATCTACTGTAATTTAAATAAATTGCATTTACATGCCTAGTCTCTGTAACATTGTGTATACAAAACCAAAATCTCTCAAGATGTAAATTATGTATACCTGCCAAGACACCTTCTCCAGGGTGTCTGTGCACATTTTAAGTTAATTCATATAATATAAAATGACTCAATGTGACTGTTGATTTGCTGAACTTTACATATCACAAAGTGGATTATTTGTGGTACTTTAGTTAGTAAAATGGTGATTTTTTTTTTCTTTGTTACCGAACAAGCAAGCATTACCCAGGTGATCTGGCAATGACTTTGTGTGTGTGGGCCACAAATACTGATTTTTTTTTCCCATTAACGAATTTTTTTTTGTTTTTTTAGAAGCTAATATGTTTCACACTATGGTTTGTGTAACTTGTGTTCGCATTATCTGTGTTGCTGTTACTTTTGTGCTTTTATTCCTTTTAAAACTTTATTTAAAAAAAACAAAACAAAACAAAAAAACAAGCTCCTGTAATTTGCACTTCCTCCCGATCCTTCAATCTCTTGTATGGCAACCAAAATTCCTGTAAGAGAAATAAATATACGATTGCACTAAGGCTGTGGCTCTGATTGCACACAGTGAAAGCTGTCGGGTGGACCCGGAGCTGCCAACTTGCAGTCTGACGTAGGCGCCTCGGACACGGTCACCACTGTAGCTCCACGAGGTTGACCAGGCACCGCGTTCCCTCGAAGAGTAAGAGCCCTCCCTTTGCGGAGCTCATCCGCCTGGGCTACCCCCGCTCCCAGGGCAGACGGAGACACGCGTGGTTTCAGAGTCGTGTGCGTGTCGGCGTGCACGTCCGTGAGCTCTACTGTAAGAGCCCAGCTGAGGCCTGGCCTTCCTTTGGTTTGGGACGGAAGTGGGGGTGGCGCCGAGGGGGGTCCCCCACACCCCCACCTGCTCATCTTCTTCCCGCCAGGCCGTGGGGTGGCAGGACTGGGCGGCCTCTCTGGTTCACGTGCAGCCAGCCATGTTTGGGTCAGCAAGGAGGCCCTGAGGCTTGGGGCAAAGAGAATTTGTGTCTTTTGGCGAAGAACTGAGCTGGGAAGACATGGGCTATCCCTTTGTCTGTAGGGAAGTATGTTTTAAACACTGAACCTCATCTCTGGTCTCATCAATGAATACCTGATGTCTTTAGTTTCCGGACAGTTTCCTCTATGTTGGCACATTCTCCATTCAAACAGCAGCCACTGTGTTTCTATGTGCATAAAAAATTCGAATGCTCCTGTCTTGCACAGTTCACCCTCCCTTAAGCCTCCCGCCTCACTGTCTGGTGGTCTCTCCCAGCCCTTAACCACCCCCATCACCTCCAGTGGTTTCTTCTAGACCTCTTCTGGGTACATGTATCAGTTTGTCTTAAGGAAAAAAACGGGAGACTTTTTCTTTGACTTGTACTTTATTTGAGGCATTTTACCGGCCAGGGCCCTGGGGCGCCCGTCTGTACCTGTACCTCTCCATGTACACGCCAAGCAGGTGGGAGTCCCACGGTGCTGGGGGAGCACAGCGCGGCTGCACTGGGGGCAGCCGCGCTCCGTGGGGACTCGGTCATTTCCAAACCGGTCCTTCTGACGCCAGCAGGCCTGACCACTTCAGTTTCCAATCCGTGCCGTAGCCGTGACTTTCTTTCTTTACTGTTCCTGTAACATGTCTCTGCATTTCAGTCTTTACCGTTCTGTGTTTAAAATTACAACAATCACTGTCCATTGCTTCTACTCTGGAACTCTCTGTTTATAGCAATTCTGAAACTTTAATATGAGCCTTCAAATAAATACAGAAATGAAAAAAAAAAGGAAAAAAATAAAGTGTGTGCCTTGGGTGTTTTGAACCTGATCTGCATAAAACCATATTGTATTCAAATGCTGTATATTTAATGAAAGAATACATATATCTTCACTGTATTAATGTAGCTGATAAAATAGTTCTAGTGCCTTGTTTTCTGAACTGAGAAGCCCATATCAATGCACAACGTAAAGTAAAAACCGATTCGAGAACTGAAATGTTGAGAAGACGTAGACATGATTCTGGAGCCTTCATCCTAAGACTGTGGAATATACACAGTCATTTAAATTAAAAAATAAAAAGAAAATTGAAATAAGAGTGTGTTATCAGTTAATTTTCCATCAAAAGTGCTCTCTTCTCTATCACTTTCACTTAACACACACGGTGTGCGTGAGAGTCCCCACGGAAGAGAAAGGACAGGAGTCCTGGCCAACCGCCTGCCTCCCTGGCAGCGTGTGGCCCCGGCGGCACTTTGTTGGCCGCTTCTCGAAGTCAGCAGTGTTGTTTTCAGCTTTTGTTAAAAATTAACAAAATATCTGTTGAAAGTGACTGAGGCCTCTCATCACAGAACTATTTCCAATGTTTACAAGTGAAAGAAGTGCCAGCACAGAGTCCGTTTCTCTTTGGAAAGTAAAATGACGTAGGAAGTCCCCGAATTCTGGCCCAGTGGAGCTACACTCCCTGTGCTGCAAGTTATGCAAGGGCCTTTGTCATCTTAGAAGCTGTCTGGGGTGTAGAGAGTGCCTCAGGAGCCGCTGCCCGGCCTGCGGGGCCACAGTCATCACAGCCGGAGTGGCAGTGGGAGATGGCTCAGCCCGACAAGAGACAGGTACACGCCGTGCGCCGTGTCCACCGCC